AGCGCCGCAGTTAGCATACGCATATTCTATCTGGCGGTCCCACCCCCGAGGTCTGCGACATTACCAAATTCTAAGGCGTTTATTCAAATTGGTTATATTTATAATCCATATTCAACTTATATTTATAATCCATATTCTAACTGTCAGCTCTCCACTGTAGTTCCAAAAAGGGAAAATATTGGTAAATGTTGCGAAGATGCAGTTTGTTTCTTGTTGACATGTGCATTGCTGAATATGCTCAAGTCAGACAAAGCCTAAGCTTGCAATCAAGATGTTCTTCCCAGTAATGTTCACCAGTGGTCAAAATATGTATGTTTTTCTTATATACTATTTCAGTGCTAAGAACCTAAGTACAGTACCCCTTCAGCAGCTGTGAAAAGCCCCTTCAACGCGAACATGTCGATAATCCTATGGCCTGTGACAATCGTGCTTGTCCAGCACATCGATCAAAACATAGATGCCTAGATTCAAACTTGAGATGATCTGGGCGATCAAGCGGTTGAGGTTCGTGTAGGTTGGGCGCTCGATGTCGAGGTTCCTGCGACAAATGTCGTAGAGAGCCTCGTTGTCCTGAGGGGCTTGCTCTCTTGCTTGCAGTTCTCGGTTTTCTGGGAATCCAACGGCAGGGGTTGAAGGGTGCGGCATAGGGAAATCTAGACTATTGGGAATCAGGAAGCTTTGTCCTCATGCCAACGCAACCAATGGCCAAAACAGCAGCTTCACCGGGAAGCTGCCAACGAAACCACGAAAACTTCATGTCTCTGAGACTAAACCAACAATGAGGACGAGTTGCGTACATGATGGTCACATCGGTGTGCTCCAACAAGGAGTGGACACACCTCAGCAACTGCAGCTCACATCTGGGCGTCGGAAGCGTAGCGAAGTAACACCTCAAGATTAGGAAGCTGCTCTACATGTCATTTTCTTCCCCAGCTTGTGGAGGATACCTCTTCATTGCAGATGCCGAGAAACAGCACGGTGTTGTAGGGTTCCACGACTGCAGTGGCGACTTGTGGGCAACACCAAACCTCGGTTTCAAAAGGCACAAGTCTAAACAACCAACATCAGTAGTAGTTAGGGTGTTTTTGCAACACCCCACGCATGATGGTTGGTGGTTCGGTCTTTCTCGGAAACGATTCATCAATGGGGAAAGGTCCCAAAGACATACCGCCAATCAAAGGTTCCACAGTATGACCACAAACTGAAAGACAGCAAAGGAGCTTGCAAACGCATCATGATGGTTACTCCCGATCTTTTTTCGATGATATCAAACAAACACACAAAAAAAAAAACACAGTAAAAAAAATACATAATCAAACCAGCAACAGTGAAAGAAATCTTGCTCTTCTTGCCGTAATCCACTGACAATCTCTCCAACATGAGGCAACCCAAGCCTGATCCAGTACCACCGCCGCAAGCATTGTAGACACAGAATCCCTGCAATCCTCGGCCGCACCATGCCCCCTGATTATTTGTTACACAAAATACACACTCTCCCAATTTATCCCATTCAGGGTCTTCTTCTTCAAACAACTTCCGACTGATTGAGTTGCCTCTGTCACTTTGTCTTGCAATGGCAGATCACTTTGTCCCTTGCCCATTTGTTGGGGCAAACATGATTGGGAAAATGAAGACTTTCTCACAAGGCGTCTCCAACCAGTTCTATTTCTCCTCACCTGCTGTGTAGAAAGTGTTGGGGTCAGTCCTCACGCTCAAATTAAATATATCAAAACACAAAATGCCTCGATCAATGCAGGTGGGAAGCCGGTGCAGTTGTCAGCAAGTTTGCGAATACGGTCTAGCACCAGGTCGACCTGAGCGCGCGAAAATACAAAAATTATCAACACATTAGTTTGGAAGGAACACTGTCAAAGTATGTCGTACACATGCAACAGACCCAAGAAAACTGTTGCTTCAGCTAGCTGACAATCTCTTTGCCAATGGTATAGTGCCCACGAGCGAAGTTGTTGGCAGCATCTTCCTTGCCCGAAATCAACTGCTCAGGATGGAAGAGCTGGCGATAAGTGCCTGTGCGTACTTCATCCACAACCTGTTCATTGCAGCTGCAAGAAGCCAACAAAAACATTCCTACAGAAGTTGGATTATTCGTTCAAGTATCCCCAAGTATAAGATTTCCAACTCTGTGCAAAAGTTAATCTATATAGAATCTTAATAAGTTTGAGACTTTACACAGCAGTTGTGCATCAATGCTACTTATGCCCGTTCAGTTTTCTAAATGGGTATATGTTATTTTCACGGGGGCGACTTTTTCCTGCAGGTAAAATGAAGGTCTGATCCAGCGATTTGCTGGCCATGGGTAGCACAGGCCTACCGGAGCTTGGCATTCAAGGTTACCGGTTACCTGTGAATCCACGACTCGACTACGAATTCCACAGATGTGGCACAGCGCGGTCATGCCTTGCCTCAACTTCTGGCGTGACACAGGACCCGATTGACAAGGGGGAAAAATTATACAAACATAGACCCCAATCAGTGTCAAAACGATTCGTCTAGACCAATATTAGTCAAAAATCGATTTCTTGGTACCCTACCTTCACCCCAAGAGCAAACTGTTTCATCAAAATAATTTTGTCGACATTGACATCGCTATTTGTTTGGCCACACTCCTCTCCAGTGAACCGGGCCACAGAGACCAGCCACAGAGTTCAGGGGCGCGGCCAAGACAAGGACAAGAGCCGGACACAGAGCTGGGCCACAGAGCCCATCCACACAGTTCAATGGGGGCGGCCAAGAGGAGGACAAAAGGAGCACAGAGCCCAGCCACAGAGTTCAGGGGCGCGGCCAGTGAGTGTGGCCAGCTCCTCTTTCCCGAAAGCATTGCGAAGGGTTCTTCCGGAAAATCTCTTGAACACTGACACTTCTACACTTACACTTATACACTGACACCTCCACACTTGCACTTGAACACTGACATTTCTACACTTACGCTTCCACACTTACACTTGAACACTCACACGTCTATACGTATCCTAGTGTAAGTGGAAGAGTGAAAGCATCGTCAAGGTGCAAGCAGTAAGCCAGGCTGGGTCCACGGCCTTCAACGTTGATACCAATCCAGGAATATTAAGGGCGCAGCACCCAGATTGGACGTTTCACATGTTGCCGTTGCGAGTGCGTATGGCGCTGTCATTAGAAGCAGTCCCGCCAGGTCCAAGAGCGAACCTCACAGGGCTGTCCTCAAGCGCTGTGCGCAAGCCCCTCAAATCCCCCTTGCAGTTCCACTCAGCATGGCCATCAAAATGTGGATTGGCTATTTTTGGCCTTCAGGGACATGGAGCACGATGATCTTGTTTCTTGGAAGATAGAGATTTGAGCGCCCCCGCTAGCATGTTTTTTTTGGTTGGCGGCAGCTGCGTCACGTGGCCACCAAGGCTTTGACAAGTTCGATCAAAGAGGCCACATATTCTCCTTGAGCCTCTTGAGGTTTGCGAACCCGTAAGAGTGGTGCTCCTTTTGTAGGTCTTCCTTCGCCGTGGCTGGGTCTGATTTTGGTGGGTGTGGCCTCTGCAAGGCCCTCCTTCCCATTCGTGGCCTTGCCAATCAAACCATGGAGATGCGGTCAAGCCAAACGGTTATGTCGTGCAGCTGGCGCCATTGCATGTTTGGTAGCCCCTGAAAAAGAAAGCTCGGTCTGGCCGGAGCAGGGCGAAGGGTTGTAAGCCAAGGTGAAGGCGACCATGCCAGTGTCTCGTGCAGAATCTCTCCCACAAAAACGGGCAAAGGGCCTCGAAGCGTAGATTTCATGGCAGGCACAGCACTTTGTGCTCTCAGATGCTCTCACCCTCACTCTCACTCACTCACACACGCTACTCTTCACTCACACTCACATTCACATTCACACTCACTCACTCACATTCACAGTCGCATTCACACTCACACTCGCACTCACGCTCACTCTCACTCGCACTCAGACTCACACTCACTC